TGCTTAAGCTTTTAAGGTATTGACAACATACTCATTAGGTCATCAGTTAAAGGCAACATGATTGTTGCTACAGGTTATGCGGGTTTTGGCAACATACTTGTTTTGGTCATTTGGTTAAGGGCAACATGCTTGTTGCTTAAGGCTTTGAAATGTTGCGATCAGTTTGTGTTGGGGGATATCAGCATATGGTTTTGTTTTGGGGGAGTTATTGCAGCTCTAGGCTGCATGAATGCTTAGGGAGTTCTTGCCCAGAACAGAACCATACCGCCAATCCAAACTGTATGCTAATTGTCAATCATCTTTGACGATAGTGGTCCTGAAAGAAATACATTATTATACTTATAAATGCAGTCATTGTTAAATCGTCGCCTTTTTAAAGTTCAATAATCATATGAGGCTACACTGTAAAAAATTACCTGTAGATTTTATAGTAAAATACTGGCAGCAGGGTTGCCAGCCGATTAATGTAAATTTTACAGTAGCATTGCTGTAATTTAATTTTTTCAGTTAGAGTGTTTTCAGCTTGTTTATTTTCATATAAAAATACGGCATGCAGTTGCATCAAACAATGGTATAAACATCATTCAATGTAAATTGTGATAATCGTAATTAATAATCGCAATTACAATTTCAAGGGAATAATCGACAATTATGATTTTTGTCATAATTGTGCAGCCCTAATCTCTGCACATTTAATAGAAAAACATCCAATATCGGTCAATCTCTCATATGTATTGATACAATGGTATAAAAAAAACTATTTAAAAACACATGGAGCTGCAGTTAACCTGTTGATTTTACTTGAGATTTTAGATTATTTTTCTTATTTCATATTAGTGGAAAGAAAATATCCAAAATACATATGTAAGTGTTTGTTTTATTGCACACACACCTATTTGCGTCTGTTGATTTCAATTCCAATGCATATCTTTAAAAGTTTTTTCTCCACTTCAGCAGCACTTACATACACCAAAACTTAGAGTTTTATTCCTCTCTATACTCTGCAGATTTTTACTGAGGGGTTTGTTCATATATCATTCACACTGATTTATACAACATTGTATTCTTAAAAACATGGTGAAAATGCATATATTTAAAGGCTGTGAGTTTGTTTGTCCACTTCAGCAGCACTTACATACACCAAAACTTACAGTTCTATGCCTCTCTATATTCTTAAGGATTTTACTGAAGGGTTTGTTCATATATCATTCGCACTGATTTATATAACATTTTATATCTAAAAACATGGTGAAAATGCATATATTTAAAGGCTGTGAGTTTGTTTCTCCACTTCAGCAGCACTTACATACACCAAAACTTACAGTTTTATTCCTCTCTATATTCTGAAGGATTTTACTGAAGGGTTTGTTCATATATCATTCACACTGATTTATATGACATTTTGTTCCTAAAAATGTGGTGAAAATGTCTTTTTTCTGTCTGTTGACATTATTTTTTGATTTATGGAGTGATTAAAAGAGAAATCCAAAATCCCCTCTATAAAAACCTTTAATATGTTAGCAAAACCAAACAAGAATTTTGCATAAGGCTTTATCCAATATTCATATCTATTTTCTGGAAATTTGTGCAAATTAGTACATATTTATTAGATGATGCCTCATTTTCATATTTAAACATACTATTTCAGACATTTTATAATACAACACAATTGTCTTAATGTACTGTGATATCTATCTAATATCTATTAGTTAATATTTTACCCTATTCACCTGTGATTTTTATTTTTTTTGGCTTAAAAGAATCTGAGATACAGGATTTATTTTCAGATTGTATGGATTTGTTCTATATGGACGTATGGTGTTCATTTTATTAATGCAGGTCTTAAATCTGATTTCCAAAACTCTGCAGATACTCTGGAACAAGCTCAAGAATAAACTAAAGTAAAAGCAAACAAAAGAAAGGAAGAGCGAGAGCTGTACACATGCAGCATCTGTGCTCAATGTGTGTGTTTTTCCGGAGTGATGTTCCGTCTGTGGCATTCCTGTCCTATTCCAGCTCTCTTCTGGATTTCGTTCCCACTTCCAGATTCACGGTCCTTTGGATTAGCAGGATTTATAAAGATGTGTGTCTGAATCCAGCAACATGTCAGGATCTCTCAAGGAAACACAACAACCGTCCTCGGAAACGGTTAAACGTTCAGAAGAACAAGAAAGATGGTTTACTGATAAAACGGACGGATCTCGCTGAATGTGATTCACGTGTGATGTTTGTCCGTGTTTGTGTGTATGAAATGTGTTTTGGACATTCAGCATCTGTGTGCACTCAAATGTACGGTGTTAAAATGAGCGCAGTGATCTTCATGTGCTCCGCATCGTGATTCAGATCAATGCAGCAGATTTCGCTGTGTGTTTGGACGCAGGTCATGCATGTGGTAGATGTTGACCTCTTGTTTTGACCTTTGAGGATTCAGAGTGTTTTTGGACACCACCTGGTAAATGTTCAAATCAGAACAGAGTACAATGATTCCTGTGTGTGGAAGAGTATATATTTTGTGGTATTTATTTATTTTATGCTCTAAGTGTTTTTGTGCTTTTCATGTAACTGATTCAGCACATGTTTTCACCATGGTAGAAAACAGAAAAATTCACCACGGTAACCATAGTTTTTCCTGCCAAAATACCATAGTCACATTACAGTGTTAAGTGGGTTTTAGCATCACTGTTATTAAAAATGAAATGAAGGAAAAAAAGAACAGACTCATATGTGACCCTGGACCACAAAACCAGTCATAAGGGTACATTTTTCAAAATTGAGATTTATACATCCAGGGTTTGAAATTAACACCCGCCAACCCGCCAGATGCGGGTAAAAATCAGCTGTGGCGGGTAACGCTGTCAAATCACTAGCCAATTTGGCGGGGTACTTTTCGTAAATTATGTTTACTACAGTTTTTTCCAATTGCTAACACACAATTTTTCAAAATAGTCTGGGTTTTACTTAATATCCTAATGATTTTTGGCATAAAAGAAAAATCAATAATTTTGACCCATACAATGTATTGTTGGCTATTGCTACAAATATACCCCAGCGACTTAACACTGCTTTTGTGCTCTAGGGTCACATATTTATTTTGTACAACTGTAACTGGATATTTTGTAAATTACGGTTACTGTGGTCATTTTATTTTTGTAATTAATGTTTGAAGGTTTACATTGGTAAGTAGTTTTCTTGTCTTTATTTCGTTGGGCTGTTGACATAAAAAGTTTTATTCAAGATGAACAGTTATAAAACGCACCTGCTGAGATGTTCGTCTTCATTTATAATCATGTTAGAGTTATAGTGATGTTCTTTGTTTTACTCTATGGATACCATGGTAATTTTTGAGAGATAGTAATCATTTTTAGTATTTGAAGGTTTACAGTAATAAATAGTTTTGTTTTCATTCATTCAAATGGGCGTTTGACACATAAATGTCTAGAAAACACAATTGCTTTCTTCTTAGCTTTTGATTATTTTAGAGTTATAATAACTGTAGTATGTTTTTTGTTTTACTCTGGTTACCAAGGTACATTTTTTGAGCAATTAGTATTTAAAGATTTACACTATGTATGATGAATTATGATTATTTTAGAGTTATGATGGTAGTATGTACTTTGTTTCACTCTATAGTAACTTCCATATAATTTTTTTTAAAAGGCAGTTTAAATATTACTATTTAGCTTACTCTATAATTCATTTTTGAGAGATTTTAGAGTTTGAATGTTTACAGTAGTAAATAACTTTGTTGTCTTTATTCAAACAGGCTTTTGATGCATAAAATATCTAGAAAACACAACTGCTGCAATTTTCATCTTAATTCATGATGATTTTAGAGTAATTGTGACTGTAGTATGTTTTTTGTTTTACTCTATGGTTACCATGGTATATTATTGTGAGGTATGCCAGTGACTTTAGTAGTTAGTGTAGTGAATAGCACCGTTGTCTTATTCAAAAAGCCTCTGGTCACATACATTTAAACACATTTTGGACGTTTCTAAAGCGTAACAGAGACTGAGCTCAGGTCTGTCAGAACAGAAGCGCAGGAGAACATGAGCAGGACTCTGTAATTGGGCTCATTTGATTAAGACTGGATGAGGTCACAAGACTTTAACAATATTTGCTGTGTGTGTGTTTGGCGGTGGTCCCAGTGCAGCTAAAGGCAGGACGCATTCAAGCATGTTCCTCTATATAATTAACAGCCTGTAGACGAGTGTTTGTGAGACTTTGAGAAGGTCTTTATTCTGCTAATACCAGATTTCACATGCCCGCTTGCTTCCAAAGAGAGGCCTGCTTGTCGCCGAGTTCCCTTGCGTTTCTTTGTTCTCTTAACAGTTGCAACATCAGAACAAGCCAAACATCTTCATGCTCTCAAACCAGAGCAACTAGTCGATGCATGATTGCGTGCATTTGTTTCGTCAAAGCGTCTGACTGTAATAACCTGAGCTTGTGATGTTTGAGGCGTTTGACGCTAGCTGTCTGTTCAACATGCTCGAATTCATGCGACCGCCATTGATTTCTGAGGTTACGTCCCTGATCTGTTTGTTTTGGCTTGTCTTTGCCGTTGTAAAGGACTTTATTAAAAGTTTATTTTTAGACTTAATTGAAGAATAATTAATGAATGTGCTAATGATCCATCCTCTGTCTCTTTAAACAGGTAAAACGGAGCGAGCGTCATATTCGTACGGACGGGACCCCAGCATTCACGGCTGTCAGGTAAGAGACTTGAATTACTGTAATAGCTACTCTTTAACAGCTCAGGAGACTCAGTTGTGTCTCAGATGTTTCTCCTAAAGTGGGAGAAACTCAATCAGGCTCAAATGAGTCACTAGTCGTCATCTGGTTAGAGTCTGGAGGTGTAAAATGAATGTGGAGCATTGGACGAGAAATGTTTGAGATCTCTGACTTTGCATCTGGGCAGATCTGAGCACAGTTTGAGACGTTATTAAACTCTAGAGGAGACACTTGTGAGATTACTATGAGAAACATCTGTCAGGATTCCCATGATGCTGAAAAATGATACATGTGATTAAAATCCATAGAAATGAAAAAAGCTTCCATGGAAATTGACAGTTTTCTAGTTATGTTCAGTTTCTTTGGCTAGAAATTACTCTTTATGAGCAAGAAAAAATATATATGTGTGTGTGTGTATATATATATATATATATATATATATATATATATATAGTTTCTAGGTTGTTTCTTTGGTCGCTCTTACAGATCCATGTTCTGAAAGCGTCACTGCATTTCACTCGTCAGAAAGTCAAATGACAGACTTACAGTGACTCTCACTTCTAGTGAGAAAGTACTTTAACATCCAGAAAATGACACGCTTCAGATTGAGTGAAGTCAGAAGAATGGCAGTCATGGAGACGCTCCTAATTAATCCAGCATGCAAATGCAGTCTGAAGTGATGTGATTGGTGTTAAAATGTAAATTGTTGAGGTTTGTGAGTTTGTGGAAAGTTTTCTCGCTCGTTGAGTTTGTGGGTCGCCGGCAGGGTCTTCAGAACTGCAGCTCGCGCTCAGATTAATCTTTCCTGACAGTTTACAAGACGAAGCCATCAGAGTACGGCAGACTGACGGGATGTGAGTGACACAACGGTGTAATGCATCCGACAGCGTTTGTGTAGCTTTAAAATCCTGCGCCGCTTGGAATTCTGGGAAGGGTGGGTGAATTATATGCAGAAACCTTAAGTTGAAATTCCCCCTCGATATCACTGAGAGACGAGCCTCATCTGCCTTCATCGGCTCATAATGCTCTCATTTATTCTCACTGTATTGCTTTTATAAAACAAAATAAAGTGGTTTAAAGCAGTCATCACTATTACTATTGCTCATATTAGGGTTAATAATTAATTCTGAAAGATACACAACCCTAAAAATAAAATTAAACAGAAAAGAAAATAATTAAAATATTTTATTTTATTTTATTTATTGTTAATTATTAATTTATTTTATTTTGTTGTGCATCATTCAGAGTTAAATTGATAATGCCTTTCCAATTCCAGTTCAGTTACCGAATTTAAAATAAAAAAGGAATAGGAAATAAATAAAATGCTTATTTTCTTTAACACTGTTTTTACTTTAGTTTATTTTATTTAAATTTTTTATTCAGAGTTATATTGATAATGCCTTTCCAATTCCAGTTCAGTTCCTGAATTTAAAATAAAAAAGGAAAATAAAATAAATCTTTCAAATTCCAGTTCAGTTCCTGAATTTAAAGTAAAAAAAGGAAAATAAAATAAATACAATTCTTATAATAGTTTTAATTTAATCGAATTTAAAAAAATTACAGTTGTGCATTATTCAGAATTGAATTGTTAATGTCTTTTCAATTCCAGTTCAGTTCCTGAATGGAAAATAATTATTTTATTTTATTTTATTTTATTTTATTTTATTTTATTTTATTTTAAGTTAAATTGGTAATGCCTTTCAAATTCCAGTTCAGTTCCTGAATTTAAAATAAAAAAGGAAAATAAAATGTATTTTAAATAAATTTAAAATACTTATTTTCTTTAACACTGTTTTAATTTAATGTAATAAAAAAAAAATTTTTTATTATTATTATTATTATTTTACAGTTGTGCATCATTCAGAATTGAATTGTTAATGCCTTTCAAATTCCAGTTCAGTTCCTGAATTGAAAATAAAAAACTAAGGAAAAGAAAGTAAATAAAATTCGTATTTTCTTTACCATTATTTCAGGTCAATTCCTGCATTTGAATTGAGGTTGCAAACAGGGTGGAGAACTCAAATTTGAAGAAATTCAAACAGCTGTCAATATTAACTGTAAATCAGACTCGTTTCCTCATACCTGACTGGACAGATCTGACCTCTGACCCCTGCGTGACCTTGAGGTGTTCCTCCTAATGGATGTGCACTAGCTAGGGGAGATGTTTCCAGCGCTCTGGGTCATGACACACATACTCACACACAGCCGAGAGAGTGTGTGTGATCTGTTTCTCTCCTAATGTGACTTTAAACCAGTGTTAGTGTTTAGTATCACTGATACATTATTATAGCTTTTGTTAATATTTTGAATTTGATGTTTTTGTTGTTGTTGTTATTTAATGTATGTTAATGTAGTTTCGTTTTAGTAATTTTGTTGTGCTTTGTCATGGTTTTAAGTTTTAGTTTTTAGTTTCAGTTTATTTAGTTTTAGTTATTTTAGTACTTCACGGTAAACTAAATGAAAATGATCAATTTTGCCTTGGCAACTAGCTGAAATAAAATAAGTTTAGTTTTTTTTTCAAGTAATGAAAATTGTTTTTATAGTTTTAGTTAATGATAATAACCTGCATTAAACACTTGCTGAACAATCATTAAATATAAAATATGTTTAAAGCAGTCATCACTAATAATATTGCTCATATTAAGGTTAATAGTTTATTCTGAATGGTGCACAACCCTAAAAATAAAAATAAAATATATTTTAAAATATATCTTATATTAAAATATTTTATTTTATTGTTTTTAGCGTTAGCGTTAGGGTTGCATCATTCAGAATTTAATAAATTACAATTCAGTTCCTAAATTTTAACTGAGGTTGCAAACTGGATGGAGAATTGCAATTCATAAGGAATGTAAGGAAGTGGAATTAAATGAATTGAAATTTAAAGAAATTCAGATAACTCTGTTTTTTTTAACTATAAATTTTATAAACTATAAATTAACTAAGACTATAATTTTAACTATAAATTTTATAAATGAATTTTAACTACAAACGTTGAATGTTGGCTTGATAAAGAAAAATTTTTAAAAATATATTTTTTAATTCTATAGGCTTTGAATAGATGGACTGCATTACCTGTGTTGAATTTCTTTGAATTATAATTCAGTAAATTCCTTTTCCTGTCCGATTCTACTTCCTGTGGGTGTGACCAATGCAATTCAAACTGAAAGTGAGCCAATTCAGCGACATTTGATGGGAAGAAATCACCTAGCAACCAGCCATAGCACCCTAGCAACTGCATAGCAACATTGTAACATTTAGAACACGTTAGTAACGGAACAGCACTGTCTTTCTGCTGAAAACGCAGTTTATTAATCTAATGGTGGGAACGAACACACACTCATACACACACACACACACACACACACTCACTCACTCACACACAAACACACACACACACTCACTCACACACTCACACACTCAC